GAAGATTCTCACCAGGTCATGATCAATTCAGGAAAAAAAGGTTAAAAGAACAACCCAACCAGAAGATTTTCAAAGTCCAGTTGTTGGTTTTAACCTTTTTTTTTGGATCCATCACTTGAAATAATCAATGACAATTATTTTTATTTATTTGTTTGTCTAACAGGAATATTGTACTTAAATAAGCATTTATGCAAACATGCCAGAGACTGAAACAAGGTGAAATTTCAAACAAATACAAAGTGCTACAAAAATATAATCACACAAAAAAGACACAAGTTCAATGATCAAACACAAAATAAAATACAATTATACCTTTGCTAAAACATAAACGGTTCAAACACTGCATTCCAGGTGTGGTTTCCAGGACCAAAACCAGTCACTGACTCATCTGAGACTAACTGGTACGTAATGGTACTAACAGTATTTGCTGTGTGCTCTTAAACTTAAACGAGGGACGCACTGCAACGTTAATTCAAAATGGTTTGTTGTGGAACGAGTCACCATCGGACAGAGTTATCTGAAGAAACATAGCAGTTTATTTATAGAGCACTTGAAGCAGCAACTAGACCAACCGAAGTGCTGTACGATAGAAACAAACAAGCACAGCGGACAGGAAAACATCAAATACAAAATACAAACCATATGGAGCAATGGAGCACATGTTCAATGGTTTATCTGAACCCAAGGCAACAAACTGTTGGTGATCAGATCAATTTCAAATATGATGGTATAAGTAGCTAAATATGCTAATAGATGTAGTTTAATATGCTAATAGATGTAGCTAAATATACCATACCATACCAATTTATTTATAAAGCACTTTAAACAGTGACAAAGCACACCAAAGTGCTGTACAGGGACAAACAGAACAAGCACACAGCAACAGATTACATAACAGGACACCAAAAATGTAGAAACCAACAAAAACAATAATGGATAACAACAACAACCGCAACATGACCAACACAGTGTGATGCACACAGACTCAGCACAGATCACACAGTGCAGAAAGCCAGGGAATAAAAGTGTGTTTTTAAGCGAGATTTAAAAACTGTGAGGGAGGGGGCCTGTCTAACCAGCAGAGGTAACTCATTCCAAAGTCTTGGTCCTGCTACAGAGAAGGCCCTGTCACCTCTTCGCTTGAGACGGGTTCCTGGGACTGTTAGGAGCAACTGGTCTGCTGATCTGAGAGAACGTGGTGGGACATACGGCTGGAGCAGATCAGTAAGATAGGAGGGGGCAGAGCTGTTTTGTGATTTATAGACATACAAGAGTATTTTGAATTTGATTCGAAGGTGAACCGGAAGCCAGTGCAGTGAGGCCAAAACAGGTGTAATGTGCTCTCTTTTGCTTGTGCTGGTCAAAAACCGGGCTGCTGCATTCTGGACCAGTTGGAGTCTAGCTATGGAGGTCTGACTGATACCAAACAGGAGTGAGTTGCAATAGTCGAGCCTGGATGTAATGAATGCATGAATTACTGTCTCCAGGTTATTGTAGCTAAATATGCTAGTATAAGTAGCTAAATATGCTAATAGATGTAGCTAAATATGCTAGTATAATTAGCTAAATATGCTAGTATAAGTAGCTAAATATGCTAGTATAAGTAGCTAAATATGCTAATAGATGTAGCTAAATATGCTAGTATAAGTAGCTAAATATGCTAGTATAAGTAGCTAAATATGCTAGTAGATGTAGCTAAATATGCTAATAGATGTAGCTAAATATGCTAGTATGTATCTAAATATGCTAGTATAAGTAGCTAAATATGCTAGTAGATGTAGCTAAATATGCTAATAGATATAGCTAAATATGCTAATAGATGTAGCTAAATATGCTAATAGATGTAGCTAAATATGCTAGTATAAGTAGCTAAATATGCTAATAGATGTAGCTAAATATGCTAGTAGATGTAGCTAAATATGCTATTACATGTAGCTAAATATGCTAGTAGATGTAGCTAAATATGCTAGTATAAGTAACTAAATATGCTAGTAGATGTAGCTAAATATGCTAGTACATGTAGCTAAATATGCTAGTAGATGTAGCTAAATATGCTAGTAGATGTAGCTAAATATGCTAGTATAAGTAGCTATATATGCAAGTAGATGTAGCTAAATATGCTAGTAGATGTAGCTAATTATGCTAATAAATGTAGCTAAATATGCTAGTAGATGTAGCTAAATATGCTAGTAGATGTAGCTAAATATGCTAATAGATGTAGCTAAATATGCTAGTAGATATAATCTGCAGCCACTTCTTCAGCTCGTCCTCCGTCCCTCGTCCTCAGCATGCAGCGGTATGATTATATTGTCCTGTTGGAGCTCTGACACGTGGTGTTCCTACATGTTTAAATTAAATCCACAATGATCAGAGAAACTACTTTAGTTCGTAGTGTTCACACAAACGAACGTCGGTTCTGGTCCACACTGGAAGTCGCGCCCATAATTCATGCAAGGCAGCATGGGGGTGAGGAACAAGGTGGATACCTAACAGGTGAAGCTCCTAGAAACTGACACTGTAAGGACAGACGTAGTGGTTTTAAAGAGAAATAATGTTTTTTACAACAAGGTTCAAAAAGACTTGTATGACTAAAATTAACCACCCAGTAACACCTTTTAATAAAGACATTAAACTTCCCAACAAGTGGCAGGTTTTTACTGTATTTAGCAACACACTCGCCCCCACCACAAACCCCCACCATATATCCACCTGTACATGGAGACATGTCTCCTGGGTGATCCTGGTCTGTTTGTGTCTTCGGCTGCTGACGTCTGAAGGCAGCAGCCGAGCACTCCTCACTTCGTGTCTTAATGTTCTGCACTGATCTAAACAGCTCATCCACCTTTAAACCTGCTCCAGGTCCTTCAGAACACGTGGATCTCACTTTCTGGTGCTGGACAGAACCCAGAGACAGATTGGGGCCTGTTGCGGCCTCTTTGGATTGACTCATTGGAGTCAGTCCCACCTGTACTCAGGTGGCCAGTGGGGCCGTGTTTTTCCGGTGTGCCTGCTTGGTACCAGATACATCCTTTCACTGAGTTTGTGAAGGAAGAAGATTAATGGGAGGAGACGAAAGGCAACTGAAAGGCGGAAGATGAAAAATAGCTTTTGTCGCACTGCCATTAGGTGAATCTAATACAGGGATAGAGTCAGAGTGTGCAGGTGAAGGTTTGGCAGCTTGGGTCTGAGAAAGGAAGACACTAAGAGCAAGATTAGAATTAGAAATTCCTTCAGCAGAGTGTTATTAAATTAAAGACACTCATTTAATCCAGTTTAAATCCAGACTTGCAGAGAAAAATGAGAAACGTCTGCAAAATAAATCTGCCATGTTAACTCCTGCAACTACCTAAAACAAACATATTTACATACAGTGACAACTTTAAGGACTTTAATTAGCAGCACTGTAGTTTGTTGCAGCCGATTCAGTCACAGTTGGGCTGTTGGTGTGTTAAAGAGTCATAATGACACAAGAGTTTACTTTAAATCATCCAAAGTCAAACAGTATGATGGAGCAAAGTTACAAACCCAAACGGTTTGTTAGTAATAAATGGAAAATGTTCTGTACTTATGCAGCTCCTTGTTATCTTCTGAAGACACTCAAAGCTCTTTACAACAATCTGTGCCTCATTTGCCCGTTCGTACAGCTCTATACTAGATCAGAGCTTTATCACATTCTTTCACCGATGGGACACACATCGGAGGCTGTGAGGGGTTCGGTGTCTTGCCCAGGGACACGTCGGCATGTGGCTGCTGGTGGAATCGAACCCCCAACTCTTGCAATGGAGGCCGACTGCTCTAACCACTGAGCCACAGCCGCCCCGGATAATAAAAAAGGAGAGGACACAAATGATATCTGAACTTGGACACGTGTGCGTGGTGTTTTTAAATTTTTAAAAACTTTTTGCAAATTCTTTCCTGTTGAGCAGTCTTGCAAAGTTATCCCATAATTTTTCTAAAGTGGGTTCAGAATGAAGAGCAACGCAGACAAGAAGATGTTTTATGAGACAAAATGACAGGAAGAAAGCTCTTCTTGAGCTGAGCTCCCCTCCTCTGTACGCTCTGCTCTTCAGCAATCCTTTCATCTTCGTGTATATTTTTAGTTCTTCGTAACAAAAAGATTCCTCTGGCTCATATCTCAACTTAATTATGTTTTTAATGGTAATTACCCCAAACTTATTAGAAGATGTGTCATTTACTGTAGACAGAAATCAAGACGTATTGTTGAGGAGACAGAGCCGTGTTTATTTTACTGTTCTGCCGTTTGATTAGACGAAGCAATGTTTGCTAGAAACACATCGCTCAGATTAAAAATGAAATGCTGCACATTTAGAAGAGACAAAGTTCATCTCTTTGATGACAACATGTAACACTTTTATCATCACTGGTGGGTTCGATCCCCGGTCAGTGCACGTGTCGTGGTGTCTCTGAGCAGGACACCTAAACCTGGACTGCTGCCCGGGCTCTGCCCACTGCTCCACCTGGGCGTATCCCAGGCGCCGTGGGTTAAATGCAGAGAGTCAGTTTCATCTTTGTATGGGAGCAAGCACTGATGACAACACACAGCACTTTATTTATTACAGCCAGTAAACTACAGGACACCGGAAATCAACCGTGCACTGAAATTTGTGGCCAAAACACTGAAGTGTAAAGCTTGTATCTCACAGCGCACGTGACTGTTGGCAACTAGTTGGAGACACAAAACTGTGAGAAAAATGTTCTCTTTGAATCTCACTGAACTTTAAGTACGCACTCAGCTGCAAGTAATAATGAAGTAGTAATAAGTAAAACTAGGAACATTTCTGCAAATGACGTGTAAACATTTGTCCTAATTGAGTCACAAATTGTCTCAATCACATCTCGGATTGACTACAGTCTGTTGCTTTCATCTCTCGTGTTTTCTGACTCACGTGGAGGGTTCCAGACGAGTTCCAGACGAGTTCCAGACGCCTGCGATGGCTCCAGATATTTCGGTAGAGAATTTGTTTTTGTAATCTTTGAAAGATGCTAAAATAATTTGGTGATAAACGAACGTGGCCCTGAGACTCACCTGAGGAAACTGAACCCTCACAAACGTTTTACAGACAATTCAAAAACTTCTTTATAAATAAAGTTTGCAATTTGTTGCTGTCAGTCCAGGGAGATATCAGCTCCACGTTAAGGCCAAGTCTGTTATAAAGACAGAAACGGTTAAATCTTATCTGGACCAGTTTCTTTAAGTGGGAAATGTTTAAAGAAACTGGTCCAGATGACACGATTTAACCGTTTTTGTCATCATCTACCTGGATGATGGAGCCTACAAACCTTTTTCTGTTATAGAGATTATTATTAATCATCCAGTATCTGCAGCTGAACTCCTCACCTCCTGAGAACTGAAAGTCTCGATTGACCAAATGAGCTGATCAGTGTTTCATTTGATTTGGCCCTCGACATTTTTTATTATTTATTTCTTTAAAAAATATGAAAGTTCTTATTCCTTCAAAAGTCTTCATCATCTTCTTCTTTCGGTTTTACTCTCTTCAGGGTCTCCACAGCGAGTCCTCCTCCATCTCACTCTGTCCTCTGTCCTCACTCCAACTACCTCCATGTCCTCTCTAACTGCATCCACATGTCTCCTCTTTGTCTTTTTCCTGCAGCTGCATTTCTAACATCCTTCTACCAATATACCCACTGTCCCTCCTCTGGACATGTCCAAACCACTGTCCCTCCTCTGG